TGGAGGCGTTTCAAAAATTATTGGACACTGGGGACCATTTTGAGAGGGGGAGAGGGGCGGGGCATAGTGGTTTTAGGACCAAGGGATGGGTAAATATTAGAAATAGACAACAAGAAAAAGAAGAAGCGAATAAGTCAAAAAATGATCGAGTGGCTTTTCAACAGGATGTGTTTTTTTTTGGTTTTTGTTTGTTTATTTTTTTAGGTCCCAAATTTGGAGTTCCAAGGAAATTGGGGGCTTAGGAGAATGAGAATGTGGGGTTTGTAGATCAAAAAATTCTCTAACGATTGGTATGGGTTTCATATAGGGTTGCATCAGGAAAATGAGGTCAAAACCTGGAAAAACTAAAAAATTTGAAATTTTGAGTACTAAAATTTTGATTTTTTGAATTTTGGAGTTTCGAAAGATTGAAAAAGTAGATCGAAAAATTCTATATCGATTGGTATAAAAACAGAAAAATCGGGTCAAAAATGAGAAAAATCGAAAAAATCAAACTTTTGGTTTTTGGGTTTTTTTTTTTGCATTTCTGAACCAATTTTTGTGCTTCAAACCTATATGATATTTATACCAATCGATAGAGAATTTTTTGATCTACAAGCTCAAATTCTGAAGAAGCCAAGTTTTTGGGGAATTCCCCAGAAAAGAGGACCAAAATTCCAGTTTTCTGACCGACGATGGTTATTTCCAAGACTTCCGAAACTTAGAAATTTGATTTGTAGATCAAAAAGCTATCTATCGATTGTAACAAATATCATATAGGGTTGTATCAGAGAATGTAACTCAAAATCTGAAAGACAATGCCCAAAATTCATTTTCATCACTCTGAACGTTTTGGTAGCAAAATTTCAAAAATCAAACAGGTTTCCAAAACAATGACCTCCTTGCCCTTCACCAGCGCACCCTAGTGTGTGTGTGGTATTGAATTTGTAAACATTGAAACGATGGAGCAACCAACACAAAAAAATGGGAGATGATGATGATGATGCTCCGGAAATGAAACAAAGAGCGTGTGAGGAAGGAAGGAGGAGGGAGGCGCCAAAACTATTGAGTTACTCTCTCCTTTGCTTACACCCAAATAAACCCAAACTTTTTTTTTGCTTTGGTTTGTTTGTTGTGGGTTGTTAACTGAAAAAAATGGGAGAGAGGAAATGTGAGAAGATCTAGACATAGATAAGGGGAAATGTGAGTTTTCTTGTATAGTTTGGTTGGTTTGAGAGGTTCTAGGTTTTCCAGAAAAAAAAACAAAAATAATTCGCGTCGGTGGGGGTCGAACCTAGGTGTCAGGATTGGCGGCCGCATGCACTACCGACTGCGCCACCCTAGAGGTGGGCGCGCGCATTCTTTGGCTGTTCCGCGCGGCTTTCCGGGTGGCGCATCTGGTTGCGCTTCTGACTATCAAGCAGATACCCTGGGTTCGAACCCACCAGGGT